AAACTAATATATATATATATATATATATATATATATATGCATTAGATCACGTAAAAACATAAACAAAGCGTGAAAATAAATAAATGAACAAACAAAAAAGGAAATAAACAAATAAACAGTAGAACAAATGAATAAGTAAACAAATAAACAAATACAGATGTAAAATATATAGATGATATTCAGTTAAATATATAAGTGATATTCATTTGATATCCCTTTTTTGTAGTGTTTCTTTTTTTTATTCATAAATGCAAGACGGAACAAAAATTTTGTCTAAACATTTGGATAATTTTGACAGAATTCAATTTCACCGTTACCGGTATGTTTTCATATCAAATGAATGCAATAATATCAATACAATGATATAGTAGTCATATCAATGACAATAATTTCTTTATCAAAATGTGAGCACATTTTATCACTGTGATTTGTAACTTCCTAATGATCATCGAAACATATTCGATCATCTAACTTAATTACAACTAATAAAACATTCCTAATTTTATATTGAGATTCACAGCTAGCCCCTATTCAACTTATTATTCTAATCGGTCAGATAATTTTGCAAATATTAGCAAACATTGTACTGAATTATGTAATCTTTTTTCGTGAAATTATTGTGCAAATATCTTTGATTAATTACCAAACTAAACTCATATTTCAGATATGATTGTGACATGAGTTTTATGGCGATTGAACAATTACTGGAAATGTAATTTAAATCTCACATTGAATTCGTGAGATTTCAGATATTGAGTATTCAGTATGAAATGACCTTTGACAGCAATATTTCTTTTTCAGATTTATTATATTTCAGATTGTAACATGAGGAATTTTGCATAATTTTCGCCTAGATTTTTCACTCCATTTTCTTTCTCATTTATGCTTTTCTAAAATTTTGGAATTCTTAATTACTTTGGCCAAAATTATTCCAACCATTCATTTGCCTCTTTCTATTTCATTTCATTAAGTAATTCGATGTGATTTGATAAGAAAGACAGCATAAATGACAGAAAGCATAAGTGGAAGAATGTTCTTGAATAATTTAAAATTATAAAAAATTGCATTGTTTGAGCAATCAAATAAAAAAAAAAAGAGAGAAATGAAATATTTGCAACGAAAAAAAAAATGTAAATACTAATTCTGCAACAGAAGACTTCTCATCCTTTCGTATGCAAAAATAAAATTTTTGCATGACATACGGATTATGGAAATTATGTCGCAATAAAAGGAAAGAGATATTTATGGGTATGTGTCGACAAAGAAAACAAATAATTTTATAGAACAAATTTGATAGAAATCATTGAAAAAAGTTAATGTTATCAAAAATGATAAATATTTCCACAGAGGTGTGTTTTGCACGGAAGTAATGTGATATGATGAAGTTATCACAACTATCAACCAGGTAAAAAACCTGTTAACTTCTTCTTGGAAAGTTAATTGATAGTTTAAAGATTAGTGGGAAAAAAGAAAGAAAGAGAAAGTGAAGTTATATTTGTCATAGAAGTTTAAAAATAAAAGGGATTGGAATTATAAAAAATATCAAAATATATTCAAAATGATATCTTTTGTTTTCTTTTGAATTGTTATTGTGACAAATGTGATGCAAATATCTGAAAAAAATTATAGCACCAAAAAGTATTCATGCAAATAATATTGGTTTCAACTACTTCAATTCAATATTGATTTAATCAGTTTTCATCATTTTAAAAACTTAATGCATTAATGTCACATGATAAATAAACGAAAGCATTATAAAAATCTGTAATATACTGCAAATGATTAGCTCATATAGTTGAACTTCTTTCTTCTTTTTTTTTTTTTTGTTAGGATGTGCTCATTAGTATCAGCGATAGTTTGATAATACAATGTAGGTGAAAAGTTTCACGTTTTCATCATTTTTGCAAATTAAACTTTTGCAAAATTTCCATTACCGTATCAAAATCTAACTATAATAATTCTAACTATAATAATTGTTTGCCAGACTAAAATGCTAATTTTCAAAATCTAACTATAATAATTGCTTGCCAGACTAAAATATTAATTTATTCTAACGAATGTAGACATGTTAATCCTACAATAATGCTCATTTCATGAATGAAATGACTAAAAAATGTCCGATATATAAACGGGGTTGTAATTTAGGAATTCATTCAAACCAAACTTTATCGTTTTCAAATCAACAAGGAATGAATGAATGATTAGCTCAATTTTGTCAACGAAAATCGTAATCTATTGCCATAAAGAAATTTTTCTCTTTGAAATCAATCCATCGGATTTCTTTGGTTAATAAGTTCCAAGCCATGTATGTATAATGTGATGTTAGTACGCTGATTGATCGAAATATTTTCCGTAATAGTGTAAGAAATTAGTGCTTCTTCTATGAGGATTAGGAAATACTGGGAGTATTGATAAGTTCACCGGGGATAATTCGAGATCATTTGTTTGATCATGAATGAAAGAAATATGATTTACAAAAGAGAAACCTGAAAAAAATCTAGTGTTTGTTCGGCGTTACATACAACACTGATCAAGTTAAATGTTCTTTCGAAAATTACTCAATGGGTCTAGGATATACAAAAGTACCCGAACTGATAATACTTTCTAGTTATTGGATAAAATCTAAGTCATAAGTTGGAATTGGTGAAAAAAGCCTAGTTTAAAAAGCCAAAAAATTTTTTTGCAAGAATAATAGGAACTTTTTGATGTCTTAGTAAAAAGTATTGCATAATGAAGCAATACATCCAAAAAGACATTTGATTTCTCAGTTTTGCAATCTCACATACAATGTGACAAGTAAGGCCTTTGTCCTCTAACCTCTTCAATTCAATTATTGAAGGAAAAATAAAAGATATGCAAATGAGGCTGACGATCATCCTTTGTATTCTTCTAACAACACCGATATTTGCTATGTACCGGATTGAATTGCATCCTGTATACAGCAAATCAAATGTATGTTGATTAATTATCTCGTGAGAGTTTATTTTGTATTAGCAGTAATTAAAATTAATATTTTCAATTGAGAAAAATTTCATTGTTCAGTCCAGTAACTTTCTTCGTTTGTTTAGCATCATGCCGGATATGCTGCAAAGGTGATCATTGGTGATCCGGAAAAGGAGTTCCGTGTCATTTTGGATACTGTTACACCGCTTATTTGGGTTGCTGGAGCTAGCTGCTCGTATGTTTGGCTTTTTCCTGCATTTATCTAGAAATAAATTATAATTTGCACGAAATATTCCAAATTTCATTACAAAAGAGATTTTTAAGTGAGATGAAGTTTTTAACTTCCGATTTTATAATTTTCTATTATTTCAATAATTTCATTAATGAACGCTTTCTCAGAATATGGCCATCAAATTGCCACAACAAACAACTTTATCCAAGTTCTTGTTCAAGATTCAAAGGCACTCTATCACACAACTACAACCCTAAAAGATCAGCTTGTCTAAATGCTTACGAAGATAATATTTTGGTATTCTTTCTTAATTATTTGCTAACTTACAGATAATTAATAGTAAAAACCACTTTACCATACTTGGTATTACTCGATTAATTTTATTCCTTCTACCAGTTAAAGCTTTCAGTGTAACATCTCAAGTGAAAGGTTGTGGCGAAAGAAAAAGTTTGAAGCAGTTTAACCCACCTATTAATAACGGCAATACTTGCGGATAACCCTAACAAAAGCTCGAGAAGATATCATTTCCGTAATGAAAAATTAAAATTTTAAAAAATTATATTTTCAGATTAATTCATTGGATGGTGGACGCGTAAATTTCTCAAATTCGCTATTCGGTACGCCGTCATATTTAAACTGGCCTGAATGGGAAAATTATCAAGAAATAGACGGAGTATTTGGCTTGTCAGCGTTGCATGTTAATTCGTTAATAAAGGGTCTTACGTACGCTCCCCTATTCCTGAAGATGGATATCAATCCGCTAAAGAAGGCTATCCGAGAGAATGAATTGGCTCCGGTTATTAGTATCATATTGCCAGCATTGGTAAGAAACACTATATCAGCATTATTATGTCTGCAGAAAGAAAGAATAAAACTATTTCGGTGATATTTCCGCATTTGGTTTGTGATCCAATCACTAGCTTAATTTCCGGGCAATTTGTAATTATCGCATAATATTATTTTTCGATTAGTTTGGAATTATTCTAAATACCATCATTTATGCTATTTCCAATTATTAATATTTATGAAATATAGGATTCTAATAAGACAGCGATGTTAACACTTGGTGGACGTGATGATAAGTTGTGCGATTTGGACAATGAAAGAAATGAATCGTTGACTGCTTCCCGAAATCGTTACAATTTCAAATTTCTATCCATTAAAATGAACAATACAAAGTTTTCCGATAAAACAGTGACAATGTTTGCTTATCCGAATGTTATCAATCCATACATCAGTGTTCCCAATGAATTCATGGGAAAAATTGTTAAAGACCTCAAGGCACAGGTCGTATTTACGCATAACTTTGTTGATTTCACCTTTGATTTAATTCACTGAATATAACATTTCTTTGATATGAAACCATTTCAGATGGATCCAACAACAAATAAATACTTGGTAAACTGTCAAGGATCGTTCGAACCATTTGAGATGTTTACACCTGAGAACAAATACATCGTTTCGCCAAAACATTTTATTATCAAACATAATGTACGTTTCTATTCTTTTTTGATCTATCAAAATATCTAAATATGAAATGACAAGAGGAAAAGTGTCAAACTCTATTTCCTGTCATTTCATTCAAAGTGACAGGACAGACAAGTTGCATAAAATAGAATCAAACATTGTTCATTTATGATAATTAAATAAATTCTGATGATATTTTTATTTCATTAGTAACAGCTCTTGCAGTCTATTTTTTAATTTCACCGTTGATCTCCTGAAAGAATACATTACATTACAACCTGATGTTTCAGCCGAATGATACGCGATGTGAACTTGCATTTAAAAATTTTGAAGGTGCAGGAAAAAAAGTGGTCCTCGGTATACCATTCCTTCATCAATATTGTGTTACGTTAGAACCACGTAGTAATCGTATTAACTTCGCACCGATAATTTAATTTAATTTAATTGTGCTCAATACAATAACTTTTAATGATAAAATTTATCTGAAGTTTGTTGCTGTTAATTAATTTATTAAATTAGCAGAAAAGATAAATTTGGATTATGTTATTATTAGCTGACAAGCATATTGCATCTACTTTGCTGCAATTTTTCTGCGCACTTTTCAAAATGACCGAAAGGAATGAAGTCAGTGACGCTGAACAAAACACATTTATAAATATATTGAAATTATCAAAATCTGCCGCAAATTCAATTACAAAAAAACGTTTTGTTACCAACTTTGTGCGGTAATTTCAGATAAACTTTGAACTTTACATATTAGTAAGTGAAAATTTGCAATTTGACAGCATTATCCTATTTCAGTTCGAATTTTAAAATAATTAAATCTAACGAACACATCACGTAAAACTTCCCATACTTTCCATTTACATACTGTTAACAATGTGAGGATATGAAATAAAGGGATAAAATACAGTAAAACCTGTTTGAAGTAAATTAATCCAGCTTATTCGATTCATGATTTTTAATATTTTTCTTAAATATTCAATTTGAGATTCACTTTAACATTGGTAAATCAGTCGCATAACGTATTTTGCATTCATCTATGAAATGTGAAAAAACCAAAATCAAAAATATTTGTTTACTCTCTTTCACATATAGCGCACATTGTTTTTCGTCATTTTATGCCAAACGTAACCCATAAGCTGTCGGAAAAACTCCGAAAATCATAATGCAAATTTTCTGTCGAATTATCGAAATTAACGTCACATTTAAACAAAATTTCCATAATATCCAACAAACGGGGTGACAAAATCTTGTAAGTAAATTTAAATCACTGAAGAGGATATAAACTAACAATGGACAGCGTAAAACAAAAACGTCGCAGTACCTACACAATGGACAATGTCAAAGGCTATCCATACCTCCATAATAGCGCCCCGATGAAGCTTACAAAACTCCTCCCTAATCCTTATATATGTATATATGAAAAAATCCCGAGACAAACAGTTGAGTTCAGTTTTTACAATTGAGCAGACGATACATCCTCTTCACTTATCCTCTGCGGGTAAATCACAACCAACGATAGCTTCGCATATCCGCCACCATTAGACAACAAACTACGATATTCTTCTATTCGCTAGAAATACATTTCCCTGTAACATATTCTTAACTGAACGACCTATCAATTAACCGACAGTCAAATTATTGTCCAAGGCAACGACAAGGAGTTTGTTAGTTGATCATATTACTTGCTCCTTGTATAACTCATTTATCATTGCTTACGTGTAATATACATATATATTTTATACCCTTTTTTGCTTGTTGTTAACTAGTAATACTGTGCAAGAACAACATTACATCCCTAATAAATTTGTATCGCCGAGAACCGAGAAACAAGTTTAATAGAAAAACAAATTTTCCATCATAAGCACGTAATTCCGTATTTAAATTGATTTGACCTGACCCTGTTATTTTTAAAGTTTCCTTTCATAGATGAAATAAAGTTCATTATTCATTCAAGCCTAATTTATAATGTTAGCTACAGAAGTGCTTAGTTAATCTGTCATTTAATGCTCTAATAATTATATCTAAACTATTTCAAAATTTTCCATCACTTCAAATATCATTTTACCCGAGTAAGCATAGACTATCGGAAGGCATATATGGAATATTAATTATACTCCTCTAGTGCAAGCCTCAAATAATTTATTCATAAAATTTTCTTCCACTTTATTTGTTGTCATTGAAATTCAAATTAAAAAGTATAGGAGAAATTAAAAATAAGTTTTTTTCACATATTCTCAAAACTGATCGTTCTATAAAAGCGAAATTTCACATCCACTATTAAAAAAATACTAAACTGAGATTTATAAAGATTTCTTTTTTTTTTTTGTGAAATAAATTTAATCGAATTGTCTTTTACATCTGAAGTTATTCATTAATAGTTTAAACGTTGTTAATGAGAAGAAATCGAGCCAATTCTTTGTGTTACTTTCAGGAATATTATTTTTTTATGGGCTATTTGAATCGAAAACAAAATTAAATAAATGAGTGACTTATTTATATTTATTCGAATATCATTATTTGAAGATTAAAAAACGAAAATAATCTATTTTTAACGCTTCAAATATCAAATTAGTGAATCGTATTTTCGGATTATTAAATCCTGTTTCCGTTTACCTTCCAAATATGGCTGCTAG